CCTTTGCTTCCAAGACAGAGAGGCGCGTCTCACGCTCGTCTGCTTTCTTTGCAAGGCTGGTGATGACGTCAGAAGGTCGAGCTCCGATTGGCTCCGATTGAAGGATTGTGGGTATGCCTCAAAGCAAGCCGCCTTGAGGTCTGTACCCACTATCCTTCAATCAGAGCCAATCAGCGCTCGGCGGTCTAGCGTCACTGCAACCCCTGAAAAAGAAGCAGACGAACTCACGCTCCGCATAGGGTGAATAGGGGTGGATTTTCGGGCTAATTAAGCTTGGGGGGGGGGGGGGGGGGGGGGGTCTGCAGGTATATTTTCCGTCACAGAAGCATGGGCATCACTGGCGAAGCGTAGCCGAATCTGTTTTGTTCACCTAAAATTTGCCATGTCACCCACCTAACTAAACATTTCTCCTTAAAAAGATAAGGTAATGTATGTCGTTTTTTTTTTATAAAACAAAAAAAGAAAGTTGCCCTTCGGAAATTGGAGGGAAGGGGGGCTCATAACAATGTTAGCTTTTGTTGCTTACTACGCCGCACAAGCAAACAACAGCGCGCCGGTATTTTAACTCAATTCAGTTCAACTTAAAACTTTATTTTCAGTTGTCAAGGCATCCCTAGAAAATGGGTTTCAATCGGTGTTCATTGTGTCATTAACAACATTAGTAACAAAAATGTTTAAGTGAATATTTTAGGATAGCCCGTCTTAAAAACGAACTCTTTTTTTTTTTCTTCTTCTTCTTTTTCTTTATAGCTTGAGCAAGTGAATTCTGAGTCATGTCGTGCTGTGTCGAATGAGGAAAAAAAAAAGATTCGGAACAATTTATTCTGCTCTGCCTACAATCAACCATTTCATAATCACCGGGGCTCTGCGGCTTCAAGGACGACACTAATTATTCAACACGAATGAGCAGTTATGGACGCGCACGTGATTATTATGAGTGATTACGATGTGACAATAAACGGACCCTGTCGCTTCCGTTCACACAAGGCAACACACCGACTTAAGTTACCTTCCTCCATTCTCGATTTGAGTATACCGAATAGGAGAATAGGATGTAAAGACTGGAAGTGTCACGTAAAACGGTTATGAATAAAGCAGTGACGTGTAGCAAACATCATCCAAACGGCGACGCCAACTGTAGTTGTAGCAACACGCGCAGACACACACACGCGCACGCACACACACACACACTCTCTCTCTCTCTCTCTCTTTGTCGGTTGTTAATAGAAGGAAGCAAAACTAAATAAGAAATAATAAAATCACTCTAATTTTATATATATGTATATGTATATATACAAGGATACGACACTTTTGTCAGATATTGTAACTTTGCCTCCAATCGTTTGGCTTAGACAAGCGAGGGAGCGAGGGAAGCCTCGAGGGCAAGTGGCTCCATCTGTGAGATGCGGTCGCAAAACAGCGGCCATTCCGTCTGCTGCTTCTTACGGACGGCGTCCTTTCGTAGACGAAAAGCAGTTCTTCATTTCTAACTTTTTATTCCGGCGACAGAGAGTGTTGGAATTTTGGCATCTTGCTCGAACGGCTGGGGTGACGGTCTGACTGAGTTCGAGCTCTCCGCGATGTCTAATATATTCTTGCAATGCGAAAAAAAAAGTTTTTTTTCTCTGATGTTTGGTATATATAAGAGGCCAGTAGTAAAAAATAACGGTAGTTCAATAGGTTCCAAGGAGGAACAAAAACAACCGGGAGCGTCTCTATGCGCGAGACTATCCGCGTAATTTAAATAGAACACCCGAGCAGACGCATTGAAGCGTGAAGGTTTGTCATTGGTTCTAGAGTTGCATCGGCGACTTTCTCTCGTTAGTTCCGATAGGCGAGTTACTACTCCCCGCTGGGATTAAAACTCGGCTATACACCAACACACACACTGTTTACCAACGTTCCCGCGTTCGCCCAGACCGGGTGAGCGCCACATTGCGCGCGCAGAAACCATAATCACCCGAGGCGAAGCATCTGCGCCTGCGCAGTGCCGACGGCAGCGCCACCGCTGTGGCGTAACGTCTCAGTGTTGAGTTGGCGTACGTTCACAATTTAGAACCGACCGCAGCCGTCGCTACAATTGAATGGATCGTAGCGTCACGTCACGTCACGGGCAGCAATTTCAGACGGTACTTGCTCTACTTCGTTTCATTCCAAGACGGACCGTGGTGGATATGCTACATGAGCCCCCCCCCCCCCAAAAAAAACACCGCTGCGAGCAACGCTGCGTCACTTCGCCCCTCGCTGCGTCCAACCGGTAGGTCACGTGACGGGCTCTCAGCACTCGGTTGACTCCGAAGAATTTGCAGCCACCGTTGCGGTCAATATTAAGATTTAAAAAAAAGATAAAATAACGTTAGGTCAATGTGTCAATGTTGCTGCATTGTGAGCAAGAGCAGAACTTGAAGTGTGTTAGCACGAGAGAACCATTCGACATCGCCCAGGACAAGACAATAGGCCGATCTCACCAGCCAATTTGACCACGCCACCGCTGCCGCAATGCATCCGGGGAACTCTAGTCTTTCTGCACGCGCGAAAACCCCTCTGAAGCTCTGCGCGTGTGGAGCACGAGACGGCGCGAGCCCTGTCGCGCACTGCAGTCTGCCTCCTGTGAACTAAAGTTATGGCGGCGTCACGCATGCGCCGAACGCTTAGTGAAATCTGTCTATCGCTATTCGCAGCTATTTGGAAGAGATACAAATCCTTCGAAGATGTGGACACCGAGAAATAACGAAAACACTTTTTACTTTAGTCAACGACGTTAGAATTGGGAAGGTTTTTTTGCCTTGGGAAAGTTTTTTTTTTATTGCATATATGGAACTCCAGCTCTCTTATTCACTAAGAACGTATGACGATTTTTTTTATTTTTCATTCAGTCATAGATTCTAACTCCTCCTGGAAAATTGACTACCAGACAAAGTTATTGCTCAAAATGAATGGTGACAACGTCGTTATTTCCAGGTCAAAGAAGCATACGAAAGATCTTTTTTTGTTGTTGCAATTTTTGTCACTTTGATTATACACCGGTCACCGCAGGTGCAATTTAGGGCATATAGGGCATCCTTATTCTTTATCAGATATCTCATCTATAGCTTGCAGCAACCGTGGACTGTCCACGCCTGCGCGAAATAAACTCTCGCTGTTGTCACGCCGCTACAATTAGGTGTTAAAGAAAATATAGACAGTGAACAAATTGGTAAGAGTCTACCACATTCTCGCATGTGAACCTTTTATCAAAAGACCAGAAAAAAATATTTACTTTCATACGCTCATCAACATAGATTTCTGCCAGATCATCGAGGCTCGAATTATTGATCAAAACCTCGTTAAAAAATAATAATAAAAGTGGCTAATTATATAGGGTCAGGTGTAAGAGGGGTAGTTCTGTTTTTATTCACTGGAAGAGAGTCCCTAACATCTGGCATCGCACTGAAGATAAAAAAGTTCATCGTGAAAGGAACACGCCCTGAAAAGTTTAGACTTCAGGCAGCACGTAAAAACATATCACGCAGAAGTTGGCATTTTGATTGCAGGTTTGGAAAGACACTTCTAGCATCCTCAATCATCCGCACCGGCGCGCACCGGTGCGCACCGGTGCGCACCGGTGCGCACCGGACGTCCTCGATGAACGAAGCGCACTCTCCCGGTGCGACTTTTCGTTGCCGCAACGCGCCGGGGTGCAGTCCCATCAGGCGTTGCGGGAATCGAGGTGATAGCAGGGGGAATAGCAGAGGCGCAGTCTATCAAGATATGGCGACCTTGCGAAAACGAACACTCCTTGCAGCGGCACCCGATGAATTCCTCAGCTCTTCTGACAGCGAGGACGACGAGCCTCTTAACCATCGCCGCGATCACCGGCGATTGCCGCGGCGGCGAAGAGCGCCCGAAAGTTAGGAACTTCGTGGAAAGCCTCGTGACGCGTTTTGATGACGCGTCTTAAGGTACGGTTGTTATCTGCTGGTAACTCTTTCTTGTACAACCAGCGACGGGCAAAATATGCCTGTGGAATCGTCACCTGTGACCACATCGACGATCACGTCCACGATGTTCGTTTGTGGCTACGTTTCCATGGATGCGACCATGGCGCATCGGATCGAGATGTGACCAGTCACGCGCCCGCGATCCTCCTTTCCCTTCCTCGTCTACCCAATCATAGGCGGTTAATCTCGATTCGATTCGCTACGATCGCATCCATGTAAACTCAGCCTGTGTGGGACTGCTAAATCCGCTAGTAGATAAAAGACATTAGGGAGTTTTAGTAGACCGTGTTTCCCCCTCCGCAACGAAGAAGCCGCCACTGCGCCTGCGCCGATGGCCTTGGCTGTAGAGTTCCGGGTAGCGGAGGGGGAAACACGGTCTACTAAAACTCGCTATTAGGAAGTTTTAGTAGACCGTGTTTCCCCCTCCGCTCACCCTCCGCTACGAAGAAGCCGCCACTGCGCCTGCGCGCCGATGGCCTTGGCTGTAGAGTTCCGGGTAGCGGAGGGGCTGGAGTGGGAAACACGGTCTACTAAAACTCGCTTTGACAGCAGACGGGCACCACGCGCGGAACTACGCAAAATAACAAAGGGAACAAAACACGAGGTGACGCATGGTGACGGTCTTCGCGATGCACCGGCGCGGCCCAGTTTGTCTTCGATGTTGCATGTACTTCGTGCTGCATGACCGAGGAACGCTGTGCACTGTCCTGGTTTCAGGGCAATTCCGATGAGAGCTTGACCGAATACGCTATTAAATTTATCCTAGTATGTACCCCAGAATCCTACAGGCAGGCGTGCTGTCTTAGTGTAGCAGAAATAATGTCGTTAAAACGGAGGCTGTCGTCAAAACATCACAATGGTAATTCATTAGTTCTCACTATATAGATTCTAAAAAGTAAAAAAAAAAAAACGGGCTTTTTTGTTTACATTGAGTGTGTGCAATGGCATGCTCCACCACTGCTTCGACCTGACGTCGTAGGAGGCCTTTGGTCCATGCACGGCGCAGGTTAGAAGCCAACAGTGCATATATTAAACCATTTTATTTATCCCGCATACATCGACGACATTCACCGCCGCTAAGGCCTTTATGGATGGACATTTATCGAAGTGGAAGTAATTCGGACCTTCAAATATTCTCGCAGAAAGGTGACCGTCCCAAGGAAGCTTCTAAATCAACCGTAAAATTATAATAAAAGCAAAATCGAGTTTATAGATCCCTTGGATATATTTGGTGCTTTAGCCTCAATTGCAGAAACACAGCACAGAGACGTTCCACGGAGTCCTCTTACGAGTTTTTCTCCGACATCTTGGTGACGACCTGTTCAAAGAGACAACGTGAAACATCCGTTAAGCCGGGATCACACTCCTCATACCGATCATACAAAAGACAGTCTGCCAACACGAGTCACTGCAATGTCCGTGGTTCGAATGCCGGTTGCGAATCTTTCTCCTTGAACTCGTTGCCACGCGGCATTCGAAGCACGGATCTCGCGGCGACTCGCGTTCGTGTCTGTTTGCAGACTGTCTTTTGTATGATGTAGAAGCAGTCTGACTCCCGCTTTTAAGACAGTACAAAAACAAAAAGCATGAAACGTTTACGATTTAAAAATATAATTACTCACCGTTTTGACTTCGGTGTATTCTAGAATTCCGTCTTTGCCCCTGTAGAAAAGATGTTTGTACAAGTCATTTCTAGAGGCTTTCGAACCATTTTTTTTGACGCATTAGGTATTCCGCCAAAAAATGAAACCAGTGACACTTCTTTTTTTAATATCTTAGTTTTTTTTTTAAATTTAGGTCACTACATTTGTATCTTCGTTCAAAAATTGGATATTAATATTCTTGTTCGTCCTATTTAAGAAAAAAAAAACAAAAAAAAAACGACTAATATGTAAGTTTGCACCCCTGTAGTACTGTGTTTGCAATGGCTCGAGGTGAGGGTGTGGTTCACGCTTAAAAGAATGGTATTCGCTTTAACTTGGAAGATAAACCAAATGTGAACCGAACGGATCAGGAAATAAATCGGAGATAGGATCTCTAATTGTTATTTTCGATAACCTATTTTTTTGTCGTTGTCACGAACCACAGTGTGCAGCGAGTTTTTGTTTATATGTCCTTTTGAGGCGACTTTTCACACCGTGTGCTCCTTGTCGCTCGCTAATATATTCGTAGCTCCAGAGAAGGCGACGCCACCCAGCGGCCAAGACGCGAAGAGCTAGCACTGCCTAGCGGCCAAAATGTAAAACAGAGTAAAGGGTATTAAATGAACGAGGTCGGAGTTGCAAAGAAAAGGCCACGAGGGTGACTCTATACAATTTCAGAGAACGTCGCCACATTTTATGAAAACATTCTGTCAGCGAACCAATTCCTTCACGATTAAACGTTCGCACGGCTGGCCAGTTTTGCGTAGGCGTAAACAAACCCATGTACAGGAAGTTGCTTCTTTAGCGACTCACATTTCCCGGGCGATGCCGGACATCTTGTAACCGCTGAAGGGCGTCTGGGGGCTCCATTCCATGAACGTGTTCACCCTACGCGGTCAAAAGTGAAAGAATGATCACAACGGTCAGCCATTATATCAGTAACGATTAAAGCCTTTTTCTTTTGGGGGGGGGGGGGGGGGGGGGGGGGAAGGGACACGTCCTAAGCAGTGTCTTCAGACGGTATTTTAAAGCATTAAATGCTTTGCAACGCTACCAACCATCCCAAAATATTGTCCGTGCATGCAATTCCGGCTAAATTCGGCGGGAAATCGCTATCAGTAGACCTATACACACGAATTCAGCTTCCGAGCTAAATTTAGGATAAAAATAAACATATCGATTCAGTTTTCCCGCTAAAACTAGCGGAATAATTGACGTCAGGCGACCTATAAACGCCAAATCAGTTTCCCCGCCAAATTGGGCGGGCAAGTGGCATGACGTGACGTCTTCTGACGTCACGTGACGTATACACCTTGGGGGAAATCGTCGGCACGTGAGACCTATACATCACATCAATTTCCCTGCTAAAGTTGGCGGGAAAATCTACGTCATATGACCAAAAAAACATCGATTCGGTTTCCCCACTAAAATTTAGCGCGAGATTAGGGAGTTTTCGTAGACCGCGCTGCCCCCTCCGCTAAGCGTTCCGCAACGAAGAAGTTGCTACTGCGCCTGCGCGCCGATAGCCTTGACTGTGGAGTTCCCGCTGTCGTAGCGGGTTGCGGAGGGCCTTGCGAGACGGCGAAAACGATCTACGAAAACTCCCTATCGACGCCACGCGACGTGTACACCAATTCAGTTAACCGCTAAATTTAGCGGGAAAATTCACGCCTTGTGACCTAGACATTAGATAGAGTTTTAGTAGATCGTAGTTTAGACGACTCCGATAACGGTACCCGACAGTCTGCCGCCACCTTTTGCGCTCGCATCGTGAATCGTTACGGGGTATCGTTTTCGGAGGTATCGGAGCGATCTACTAAAACTTTCCTGGTAATCCGGTTTTCCGCTAAATTTAGCGTCGCCCAACTTCGCCCGACCTATGCGAACGACCATTCGGTTTCCCCGTTAACGGGAAAATGTACGTCAGATGTCACACAAATTCTCTATTACGCACTTCATGCGCCATGGGACTTTTAGAAACTAAAGGTCGCTGCCAATATTTTGCATGATGTATATCAGCAATGTGGCGGCGGCTTAGAAGAGCAACATACATCCTGTCCAGCGAACACCACTTATATTCTTTGTCACATCGAGAAAAAGAAAAAGAAAGGCGTTTTGTGGATTAGTTATGCACTGCGCGAAAAAGTTAATCCCTACAAAATTTAGCTGCAAAAAGAAAAAAGAAAAGATGATTTGGGTTTCTGAAACTTGCACGTCTTGATAAAGCAACACAAATCTGATCTAAGATAAACTTACATATACATCTTCATTCAACACACAAAAAAGGGGGAAATTGGTAACGTACCGCTACAAGCCGGACTCTGTTTCTTTTAATGTGAAACTTTTTTTTTTTTTTTGCTAGTTGCTCCGGATTTTGTGAATCCGCATTTCGTGAAGCCCTGGCCAGTGACGTCCCAGTTTCCCCGCTAAATTTAGCGGGATAATTGACGTCACGTGACCTCAAGACCCGCTAAATTTAGCAGGGAAAATGAAGTCTCAAACTCAGTGCCACATCACCTATACTATAACTTAGAGATGGAAACGACGTCAGATGACTTCACGTCACTTGACCTATAAACAAATTCAGTTTCCCCCTCTAAATTTAGCGGGGAAACCGAAATAGTGTTGAAGTCATGTGATGCGAGAATTGTTTCACGTATCCAACAAAATTGTCTCGCAATTTGGCACATTTCTTTTTTTGTTTCTGCTTCGTATTATTGAGGTGAGTACCAGTGTAGAATAAGCCAAGGCCTGCAAATATCGTCCTCTTTCTCAGTGGAACGTCGTCACAGTAGGATTTGTTCCAGCTCAGCAATTGGACGCGAGCGCGACGCCGAACGTCCATCGAAGCGTTGATTGGACCCGAAGACCATCCGAACGCTGACTCGGCACTCGTATCCAATCGGCGTCCTTCGCTCGATCTGACTGCGATGACGTCAAAACTCTATAGTGCACAGGCTTCAATCGTCCTAGATCGTGTTTGCTAAAACACCTCTACCGTGTTTGTGTAAGGACCTTATATATTCACCTTCTAAATGTCTCCTACAATTTAATTTTAGTCACCCGCCGCAAGTATCCTTCTAAATGTCTGTAATAACCTTTACACGTTTTTCTTTCTTTTTTTTTGGGGTAGGGGGGGGGGGGAAAGGGGGGGGGGGGCGTTACTGAGAAGTAGAGGATATGTAACGCGGGTAGCAAAAATAAGCGGGGTAGCCGAGTTTGAAACGTTGCCTGTCCTGTACTTTTCTGTCCCTTTCATAAGCCTTGGCAATCATTCATTTTCTCATTTCGAATATCGTGTTGTTTTACACCGTGTGAAAGTGGGGTTTTCTCGCCGAAACCGACCGCCGTTAATGGAACCTACACCGGCGGGGTTTTTTACATAAACGAAAGAACTTGAAGCCCGCTTTGCTCATTACCGAGAAAATTCTTGTACGTGTACACCTTTCGAGCGCTTTAACGTGCGCCCTGGCGAAAATTGACGAGTGACTGCGCTGTAAACACACGCGATGCGTCTGGTGTACAGCGGAAGAGGGCGACCGCATGTGCTCAGAACGCGTCGCACATCCCGGTGGACAAAGATGGCGGCGCCCAGAACGGGGATCATTGAAATCACGGAGAATAGAAGGGTAGGAGAGGGGATGACGTCAGCCGCGTAGCCTCCACAAGCCATGCTCCTTTGATGCCTTGCCTCCACATCACGTGACCGTAGCTAGCCTTCGATTTGATAAAACCTACCGGACGGAGCGCGCGCAAGCCTCCAAGGAATCCTCCTACAATCAACCAACCACCTCGCACGTGACATGTCACGCGCACCAATCGCCAGGGAGATCAGCCGTCACGCTGGGCACAAAATCGTTTAAACTTTTTATGACTAGACTTCACCAATATTGCAACGTGCCCCTTCCTAGTACTTCTAACCTCCTTGACGGAAATGGTCTCTAGTCGCCAACAACCGTGGGGACACTTCACCAGGGTGGACAAAGATGGCGGCGCCCAAAACGGGGATCATTGGAATGGTCTCTAGTCGCCAACAACCGTGGTGAGACTCCACCAGGGTCGATAATACAAATCAAGATTAATTAAATAGCGATTTAAATCAGACCGGTTTTACTATGACGACTTATAATCAAATCTTTTTCTCTTTAATTTACCGCTTGTCTGTCATTTTATGCGTCAATGCGCATTTGTTTTGTATTTAAAGTAAAGAATAATAAGAGCAGGAAAGATTTATATAAGGCATGGACACGAACAAAATACGAGATCTCTTCTGAGGAAATCGGAGCATTTGAGCTTGATTTTTACCTTCGACTTCGCCAGTTACGCAACGTCCAATTCAGTGTTGCACTTAAAGAAATAAAAAGAAAAAAGGGTGTATTCTTACACCCTTTGAGGCTTGATAGCCGAGTGGTACAACTTATTGAAATAGCTATTGTACGTGTTACTGACTACAAAAAAAAAAAAAAAAAGGCGTTTTTTTTGGCCTTATTGCAAAACCTCAGTGTTTTCTTTCTGTGGCCTTATATACGTACTTTAGCTATTTAATAAGTTATATATCACAGTTATCAAGCCCCTCGTAAAATATGGGGCCGTCTGTTCGACCATAGGGCGCTGAACGTCAAACTAAAGTTTCGGGGCGCGTTATATGGGACAAAAGGGTGGACGATGACACGATTTTTTTAGAGTGTGGGAAGTACTCCGAGCACACTGTACTAAACGTAGCTGCTTATTCAAGTAGGTTAAAAAAACAAAGAAGACTTGTACATTACTTGAAGTACATTCTTTGATTATGTGCAAAGCTTGCACCTCACTTTTTTTTCGTTACTTTTTTAGGGAAGTACAGCACCCGAAGTACATTCCCAAATGTGGGTCTTATTAAAGTGGTACATCGCCGTTCTGCGAGGACACGGACACCCGTCACACGCTCCGCGTTTAGGAAATGGCGACCGCCGATGTTGCTCAACGTACTTTTGAAAAGAGTATATTTCACGAACGTGTACTACTTCCGGCTGCTACCACTTACCACACGGTCCCAGCCTCCAGGGCCTGAGATACGACGAGGGCGGTGTCCACGTCCTTGGTGATGAGACCAGCAGCGAGACCGTACGTCGTGTTGTTTGCTCTCTCGATGACTTCCTCGGTGGTCTTGAACTTGAAGAGGTTCTGAACGGGGCCGAAGATCTCTTCCTTGGCGATGGTCATGTGGTCTTCGACGTCCGAGAACACGGTGGGCTCAATGAAATAGCCCTTTCTCGGCAGGCGCTTACCACCGTACTGTAGCTTAGCGCCGTCGCATTTGCCGCACTCGATGTACTTCAAGACTTGTTCCATTTGTTCCTTGGACACCTGAACGAAACAAAGAAAGAACGATTAGGTTTCAACTATGGAGACTCGGAAACACAAGGGTAACTTCAGTGTCAAAAGGATAAGAAGCGCGTTTGATCAGACCAGTTAGAAAATCTGAATGTTCAAGGCTTTACACCGCAAAGTATTTAAGGTTAAAAAAAAGTGATGTTTCATAAAAGTTTCAGTTATGAGGCTAAACCTGTACCCCGTACCTCTCGCGTTCTGTACGACTAAACGGATCCTCGATATGTCAAGAGGGTTATTCTAAAACTGGAAGTTTTTTTCTTTCTTTCTTTTCTTAGTTTAATGTTTGGTTGATCCTTGCTTTTTCTGTTCAATGCTTTATTTTTCCACCGCAACCCCAAGTGAGTGCGTGCCATATTAACAAAGAGCATCGTACGCCCCAGCGGAGGACAGGATTATTTTCGACAACCTGGGAATCTTAACGTGCAGCTAAAACCACAGTTAGACGGCGCCTTTTCAGCGATAAGCCTTCATCAGTCTGTGGGCATTTCGGCCGGGATTCGAACCCACTATCAGGATATCCGTAGGTTGGCGCTTTGTCTCGAGAGAAAGATCTCCGTCACCTGCGGGCCCTGCATGGTCTTCTCGTCGAACGGGTCTCCGAGAATCCTCTTCTGGGCCAGTTCCACAGACTTGGCCACGAAGGCATCGTAGATGTCCTCATGGACGAAGGTGCGAGTGGGACCGCAGCAGATTTGGCCCTGGTTGTAGAAAAGGCAGTGGTGGGCCAACTGCACCGCCAGGTCCACTGCGGCAAAGAGCACGAATGACGAATGCATGAACTAGACTACACTCCTAAGATTACCAATAAGCATCAAAGAATGCAGAATTCAGGCACCCTTAGATTGAATTATCCTATCTACAGTTTGTTCTGCGAGCACGCGTTCGTTTTTAGGCATGCGTTTATCTTTCTAATATTTCAGTTCCAAGTTACGCCGTGTCACGTTGTCGCCTTCCGCATTTTTCTCAGTTTCCTTTATGTTTTGCCCTTAAGATGAATAAGAACCAAATAGCCCAGTTGGCCATTTTAAACCAGAAAGCAATTCGGCATTTGTTGGTTTATTAAATATGATACACCTCAGTGTATCAAGTCGACAATTGTTAACATTAATAAATTAGCGCAAACTGAACAAGGACGGAGAGGCACAGATACGACAGGACTGCATGGTGCTGACTTCCTACCACGTTGATTAAAACATCAAACCAGGCAATATATACCAACGCCTGCTGGAAAAATCACACTCAATTGAAACGAGGTGAAATTATACCGCCTGCAAGTTCGTCTGCTTTTTGGGCACGTTGGGCGTTTGTTTACCCCCCAAACGCACCCCGGCTCACTTTTGTGAACACTAATGTCCAGGCGAAGCGCAAACCCCACGACATCTTTATCACCTTCAAAAATCTTTTGCGAAAAATAGTGACTTGCGAATAGCTAACGCTGACCCTTTTAATTTTCTTTCTTGACTTCGTCTATTGGCTTTCTTTTTGCATGTTAAATTTTTTCTGCCTCTTTTTTTTTCTTGTTACGGGGTCAACGTTAGCGATTCCCGAAGGGGGGCGTGCGTGACATTTCCCAAGGGTCATGCTAACAGTTTCCCAAGGATTCACCAATGGATCTTGCTGTAACATGTCACCCATTTTCTGTACTCTGCCTGTCAGAGTATGTCGGCGCTTTTGGATACGGTCATCTAAATCACTCGTGAAAAGAACCACATCCATACCACTCATGGAAGGAAACGCATCCATATCACTTGTGGAGGAAAGCGCATCCATCGTTGTAACTACACACACACACATCACAGCTCACTCACGCCACTACGGAAATCCAGAGCGAAGAATATCCGGTGACGGCAAAGCGGCCACTGAGCACGCTCGCATTCCACCAAGCCGCGGCGCAACACCTCCTACATAACAAAGCCAAGCGCTGACGGAGCACTCGTTTCCAATCTGTGTCCAGCGTTGGCCTTCTCTGATGACGCCATCTCATTCAGCACTGCAGCTTTAATTGCTATCTATCTAGGAGGTGTTGACGGCGCCTCCTCCTCTCTGGCTCTGCGCCAGCTGTGCGCACGACTGACGGAAACCAAAGGCTCGTTTCGACTAAAACCCGGCGGTGTCTGTCAGTTTGTCAGCGCCGGGGAGATAGGGAGAGGTTGACGCGAGCTGACGCCAGCGCTTCGGACCAATAGGAGAATCGTACGCGTCACCTTCTTCCCCTCCCTCTCTCCCCGGCACTGACAAACAAAAGACACCGCCGGATTTTCGCCAAAACGAGCGTCCTAATGCGAACGCATTAAAAGAAGATTAACACCATACCTATCAGCTATCATTTTTTAAGATTGTACCAAACTGTGTGCATGCAAAGGCCGGAACACATGATAAAAATGACGGAATGTGCAGCCGAAATCGCAAACGAAATTCGGACGGCAACTGGGCTCTTCCCCTTTTCGCGAAATCGAAAACGATTCGAGAGATGTAGAGCATCAGGTATGTTTCGGACGGCTTGGCGCGAGAAAACGTAAATCACTGCGATTTCCGTGTGGGAAAACCATGCCTCATGTGGCTCGTCTTCCAAAAATCGCGTACAACGGTTGTAGGATGGTCCAATTTCCGTCCGATTCTCGGTCAATTTTTTCGCATAATATGTTCCACAACTTGCACTTATATTTTTTAACTGTTCGCAAGTAGGTTTTTTGTTATGTGACCCTTTAATTTCCCGTAAAAGGCTCTCTCAAATACCTGATAGTAACATGGTAGGGTACCCTGCAAATTTTAACTTCTTAAATTGATGATCGAAGCCGGCTGACATTTTTGTGAAGGTCGTATGTAAACAATTACTAGCTATTCCTTTTTTTTGTGATCCTTGAGTGGGCACTTTCAAATGCCAAACGAATATTTTTTTATTGCTGGCTATACATCGAGCAGAAGTGTTCCTTAAAGAAATCAATCTACTAATCTAAAAACGAAATGCAATCATGGTTTTCCATGTCACAGGTGAACTCTCCGACTCCCGAATGGACATACAAAAATGTCGATTATTGCTGCGACATCAAATTCATTTGTCCCTTCCGCCCATCTAAAGATCGCACGACACCGGGGCGTCCCGATAAATACACCATTAGTTTGCACAAAGAACTGATCATTAAGGCAGACAACCATCGACTTAACGTAATATTCCATTATGGCTCAAAAGTTCTCACAGTTGATGCCAGCCGAATTTCGGAACTATATACAGTCCATCCGGATTCCTCAGTCTTGTCCCTTAAATCACTGAGGAGTCCACCATGTGGCACAGAGTAGTAGAGATCTTGCACATCCACTCTAAGGACTCCCCTGCAGTTACAAGTCCGTCATTGACCTCCTGTACAGTCTTGACAAAGTTTTTACAAGGAAAGTATGAATCAGCTACCCCAGTCAAGTCGTGTTACGACAATCGTTAGCTGAGATGTTGTTGCGGAAAAATGGCAGTATGAGGCAGAATTCAAGTTGGGTGTTCATCTTCATACATGTGCATGTATGTAAGGGTGCGCAACAGCAAGATCATGGCCCGTAAATCTGAAACCACAGATGTTTTTCCTATCGAACATGAGGACGATCTCGTTAAGATCTGCTAAGACAAAAATCTGCTAAGTAAAGACTTGGCAGATTTTTAGCAGAAATGACAGTTATTAATTTGTTTCTGCCCTAGAATATCGGCAGTGATAGTGATAAATCAACGCGCAAGCTTTTGAAACTGTTTCATTTTAACGTTAGATCAGCCACATCAAAGGTGGGCAAGCTTACGTTTCTTTTTGGTCTTTTAGATGCTCATTTGACGTGATAATGTTCACCGAAACGTGGTACCGAGATGACTCCGACTTTTTTTGTTCTTTCCCAGTATACTCACTTTTTATCAAAACTGCGTTTGTGGGCGTGGTGGTGGCGTTTCGATACTGACCGCTAGTGGTGACTTTGGAGTTGTTTCAGAGTATACATGCCTTACAGGTAACTATGAATTACTGTCTCTTGAACAAAACCAATTTATGTTTTCTATTGTCTGTCGTCCACCCAGCGGAAATGTTAACCTTTTTCTTGCATTTTTAGATAAACTGTTGTATCACGCCAATGAATTAAAGTACTCTTTTTTTGTTGGTGGCGACTTAAATATAAATTTGCTGCACGATACTACAAGCGCCTCGGAGTTACTGCTACTACTAACGGCAAATAACTTCTATAATGTTATAAACCACCCCAGTGCACCACGTTGTTTACATCCATATTACTTGATCTATTTATTACAAATTTTGGCAAGGAAAAGGTCAGGGCTGGTGTAGTAAGTTCTGATATTAGCGATCATTTGCCCATATTTATGCTAGTCGATACAGCACGAGAAATATGTAAACTCAATTTATATACTGTGACTGTCCAAAACATTACTCAAGCTACTTTAGGTACATTTAGACAAAAATTATTGACCACTGATTGGGCCGATATATTCTGTTCTGACGACGTAGATGGCGCATACAACACATTTATTAAAAAAAAAATTATACAGCATTATTTTGACTGTTTCTCAGATAAAACCATTAAAGTTGCCAGAAAGGGGCGAAAGCCATGAATGACCCCCCACTTTTTAAAGGAACACGTAGAAAATATCAACTCTATTAAATATTTCTTGCAACTCGTGAAAAAAAACGGCGCCTGAACAATTCAAGAAATATAGAAACCAATTAACTACAGAAATTAGAAAATCGAAAAAAACACTATTACTCTCATTTATTTGATCTGGAGTGCCTAAAAAAAGCCGATTTATTATGGAAACCTATAAACAGGGTTCTTAATATGTCCTATAAATCAAACAAAATTGAAAGCCTATAAACCATAACGGCGAAATTTTGAGTGGTTCGAATTTGGCAAATGCATTTAACAACTATTTTGTGAATATAGCTAATAACTCTTACAATCCTGAAGCGTCAGACAACATTAGATCAATCTCGGAATCAGTATTTATCTATCCTACTGATGAAACTGAGGTTTGTTCTTCTATTTTGACTCTTAATAACAACCACAGTCGTGATGCCGATGACTTGCAAATTAAACCTATAAGTATGTGATAGGTATAATTGCTCCATGTCTAACTTACATATTCAACCCCGCAATATCATCTGGCACTTTTCCCCCCAAAAAAGCAAACTGCAAAAGTTTTATCGTTGTTTAAAGCAGGTAAAAAAAATGAACTAGGGAACTACCGTCCTATGTCTATACTTCCTGTGTTCTCAAAAAGTAGAGAAAAATAATTCACTCTCGTGTTGTTAACTTTTGTGATAAGCACTCTATAATTACTGATTGTGAATTCATATTTCGAAAGAATAGGTCAACAGAGACAGCGTTAATGGTTCAAAAAGAAGAAATACTTAAACATTTCGAAGATAAAACTTTAACGATTGGGATATTTTTAGACTTGAGCAAAGCGTTTGACTTTATAAATCATTCCATTTTGTTAGATAAACTACATGCTTATGGCATTCGTGATCTTCCACATGCATAAATCAAGTCCTATTTAAAATATCGACCCAGTTTGTGCAAATTAATTACGAGAAATCAATTCCATTAACCATATCAACAGGAGTGCCACAAGGAAGTATTCTAGGACTAGTTTTTCTGTTATATATTAATGATAATAGGAACATTGATTCAATATGTAAATATATAATCTATGCGGATGACACGACTATATTTTTTTCTGATATATCCGAAGAGGGCCTCATAAATAAAGCTAACGCATTTCTTTCGAAGTTAAAATTATGGTCCGAGTCCAGTTGCTTGAATATAAATACTTCAAAAACAAAAGCATTTATGTCTCGTCCACGCGGTTCAAGTAACCGAGTTTATAGTCCTCTTAATTTCGGGTCTTCAAACATTGAATTTGTAAATAGCGTAAAAAATCTCGGAGTAATTTTTTTCGATGATATGCTCTGGACTAATCACGTGAAATATCCCTGCTCTAAATTAGGTAAAGCTGCTGGAATTATAAATAAGCATAGGCACGTCCTTCCATCCAGCGTAAAAAAGGTTTTGTACAATTTCTTATTTTATTCTCATTTATGTTACTGCACCCTTATCTGGGATAATACGTCTTTCTCAAACTTACATATACTACACTTATTGCAAAAAAAAAGTTAAAAATAATAGCTAACGTTTCCTACATACATCATACGCAGTCACTGTTCAAATCATACAAGATTATAAATATACACCAAATCTAGAACTATCGTTGAACGATGGCGTATAAATATGCGGCATTAGGACGCTCAAATATAATTTTTCAACTGTCTGACTTAAAAGAAAAAAGCGATTATTATTCATCGAGGAATCACCAGCTTTGGCAAATTCCAAAATGCAGGACCAACGATGGAAAAAAAAAAAAATAGTTATGCTTTACCGGCTATGCTGAACGAATATTTTGTTAAAAACATATATATTGTGCAATTGTCAAACAGCCAAATAATCAATTTGTTCATTTGATCTTCTTATTTTTGACCACTGTATTGTGTGCGCTCCGTCGCAGCTTCTGAAAAGGGGGGGGGGGGGGGGGGGGGGGGAAGCCCGGAGCCTCGTCAAGCTGCATTTCTGCAGCTTTTTCTCCGGCCTCCCATTCACCACTTGTATTTGTAGCGAAAAATAAAGTTCGTATTATATCGTATTGTATCGTATATAAATCGAAAAGGCCTGACTTAAATGAAATACGCAAAAAAAAAAGAACAGCTAGCAAAGCAAGGATGACATTCGTCATCATCTTGGCGATAGAACAAGTAAATAAATACTAGGAAAAATTATTCAAACTACTCTTCAATACGACCCTTGAAGTACGGCCAGATCACAGCTCGGATACGAAGCTCGCAGCGAAATCACATCTGGACATTGGAGGAAATTGGCAGAGGCAAAAACCTAAAAACAGTTCCTATACTCACGATCAGCATCGCGGAAGATGATGAGTGGACTTTTCCCGCCTAGCTCCAGGGACACACGTTTGCAGTTTGAGTCACCGGAAGCTTTGAGCATCAGCTTTCCTACCTGTCAAGGCAAGACGTCAAGTTAATAAAATAGCCGACTTTACGTAAGCCGGCTATCACGCTATGCATATTAGCGTAAAAAAAAAATACAAAACCGACTCTTACATGGTCTAAAGTAGTGATGTTGGTAATAGTTACCGCTTGTCATCCTCGGGACATAAAGAGGCCAATAGAAGTCTAAGAAAGCCTTACTTTTTATGATGTGTTTGACGATTACGCGTACTTACTGGTGAAACCCAACCCCTGATTGCCATATAACTAAGCAGTGAAGCGTAACCCTGGAATTCGTTTGGGGCTTAAGGACCAATTCATCCAGACAGCGGGCTTGACCGGTTTCGTGGGGCATTCAGGGTCCTAAATTCCCGGACAATGGCCATTGGTGGCCCGATAAATTTTAGGCCATCTTTACTTTCAGGTTTCTAAGATGTAAATTACGAACGAATTGCTAATCTTGAGTGTGCGCAAGTTCTGCAGCCGGTATACCACTCCAATTCGTAACAATTATCGAGCATGCAAAAACAAAATTACGTAAAAAAAATGCGGGCAATTTTTCTTTAGACGTACAAGAAATCTTTTGTCGGTTTGCGTATTAACACAAACGCACCCAACCTGCGTGTGAACGGGCCCCGACCATTTTTGTGGTGTCTAGCGTATTTTCCGCTGCCATATGATTTCACCCCGCAACCTTGCACGGCTGTCGTACTTAGTTTAGCTAGATAAAACTAGACTTGCGCATACTTAAAAGCCGGCAAAAAGACTTAAAAAAAACATGTATTGGCGGTCGCCATTTTTTGGGCACGACGCGTGTGATCGGTCCTCAGTCCTCCCCAATGACGACGCAGTACTCGCTCCGAGTTGAGCAGGGTTCACGTTGAGTGCTCACGGAATTCTCCCGTAATATAGAGATTCAGGGTACGTTCCAAATCAATGGCGGGCTCAAAGAAGGGGCGGGGCGCTGCAGCTACGAAATGGCGCGCATTCTGGCAAAGGGTCTATTTTGACTGCATTGCGATTTACAAACACCTTCAAAAAAACAAAACAACAAACGTTATCATGATTTAGAGCTGGCCAAGGAGTATAAATCTTGCTTCACAACATCTATCACTCTAACTCAACACTTCGCCAAACGCTATTTAAAGAACCACCTTACACAGCATCAAGCACCAGTCATTCACTAAATGTTAGGATCCCCCATTGCAGCACATTTACTTTTAAAGCCTCCTTCTTGCCCCAAACCTTCATTGATTGAAATCACCTTCCCACAGCCAGTTACAATTACCCACACCGCTGATTTTAGAATTGCAATTATCAATTTGTTCAATGATGTCTTGTACAAATTTTGTATTTTTTTTTTTTATATGTACGTTACAGTGCCCTATTTCTCTCTTAATGCCTTCGAGCTCTGGAGGGGAAATAAATTAAATGAACTGAACTAAAGGGAAGGTTCACGCACATCGACAGACCCGGTGAAGGCAATCTTGTTGACGTCCGGGTGCCCAGAAAGTGCGGCTCCCGCAGTCTCTCCGTAACCTGGCACAATGTTGACGACCCCAGGCGGGAAGCCTGCCTCGACGACGAGACTGGCCACGAAGAGCGCAGTCAGAGGTGTCTGCTCGGCAGGCTTGAGCACCACAGTGTTGCCCATGGAGAGGGCTGGAGCGATCTTCCAGCAGAGCATCACGATGGGGACGTTCCACTGGAACGCGAAACACCAGGTGAGACAGGGGCAAATCCAAAACTCCGTTTGTTTTTTTTTTTTTTTTTGGGGGGGGGGGGGGGGAAGGGGGGGCGGCGAAATTTTTAAGGATACTATTCTCCCATTCCTTCTTGTGCACCGGGGTGTCCACCCATGTCAAATTGCCCTCCGAACAGGGGGAAGGGGGGGGGGGGGGGGGCCTCGACATCGCTTAGGGGCGGGGGGGGGGGAGGGCCGCCCCTCCCTTGGATCCGCCCCTGAGGTGAGCACGCCGGATGCACAAGGAGACGAAGAAAAAGAAAAAAACTATATCGCTTTTTTTTTTTCGGCTTTCTCAAATAACAAAAATCTAAGGTGGCCACAGTTTTCCTCACGTTGTAAAACGAGCCGGAAAAATCGGCGCCTACATATTGAAAAATCCAGCTTTCATCAAATGTGCACTTAGGTGGTGGATTTTACCTTAAAGGGATGCTGAACTGAAAATCAATTTTCAGAAAACAACGCAGAATCAATAGGCGGGACGCTACAAATTCCAAAACGTCACTCACAAAGCGGTATCTCCAACGGATCGTCGTATTTTTGCAAAAATAGAAGAGCGCGCTCGCACATGGCCGAAAAGACGCGTGACCTCGAGATTCCCATTTCCTCCTCTTTTCGCTTTGACTCCGCGAGGGCGCAGAGAATAAAGGGAGAGAGCCAATTTCTCCTCCTTCTCAACCCTTCTGCGATAAGATGACGTCAACATTCTCCCCCATTCGCTCCTTTATTTTCCAGAAGTACGGCCATCCGCTCGAGATATGGCTATAGGAGTGATTTCGGTGGTTTATGGCGCCCTATTGCACACATCTGCAAGCTTATCTCGTGAAATCCGAATTCCGGTTCAGTATTTCTTTAAGCAATTTCGAGGCATAGTTTTCTTTTTGTGAAAACGGGACCAACAAACTTGCCAAAGTCAACGACCGACGTGCACGCAAATGACCGACTTAGCGATGAATGTAACGATGCACACTGTAATCTGCTAGCCTCACTATTGGGAGAGGGAGCAACAAATTACATAAAACTTGATTAAGAAAGAAAAGAGTGTGCAGGTAACAGCAAAGACACTCAAAAGTCAAAAGTTTGTCGTTGCCTGCAGTCTCGGGGTTTTTAAATCATGGTTAATGTACACCAGCTCGTTTGCGCCCTAAGATTTATTTCAAGTTACATTCATTGCTAACTTGGTCGTCTGCGAACACGTCCGTCGTTGATTTTGGCAAGTTTGTTGGTCTTATTTATTACGGAAAGAGAACTATATCTTTAAATTTCACAAGATAAGATCTACCACATAATGCACAGTTTGCGAAAATTGCAAGGTTTCTATGCGGAGCCGTCGAGTTTTCAAGTTTGTTTTACAGCCTAAGAAATGCCGTGACCACCGTATACTCATACGGTGTCTAAAATATTGAGGTTCAATCGAAAATGAGTTACAAAACTGGCGCCTGCACGTAGCCATCTAAACTTTTCGTCGAAGGTGTCTTTTACAGGTGGCTTTTCCCTTGTAAAATAAAAGGGTGTACATCCCTTTCTGCAAAAAATAAGGAAAAAAAAAAAAAAACTTGCCGGGGTCAACGGCAGACGGCAATGCAGACGACCGAGTCGAGTGGCGAGGCCCGTTTGGTGAACGCCTTGATGCGTAGCCGACCAGCGAAAGAAAGCAATCGACACGCAGACGAAATCCATTGGCAGCAAAGACGGTTTCGTTATGCTACCGCGTTTTATTTTATTTTTGTTTCTTGGATTTTTTTTTGTCATTGTCCGCATTTATTTCCAAACCAAAAGTTCACTGCAAAAATATTATGCTCCTTTAATATACCACGGTCGTTGAGGGCAGTTTCGATATTTCTTAAAAGCAACCCGGAACAAGGAGGGAGCGCCATCTTTCAATGCGTGCGCCAAACGCGCCCGGCCACTCAACGCGGTTGTCTGCATCGCCTTGACCATGGCAAATTTTTTGGCACTATACTTTTTTTTTTTTTTTTTTTTTACAAAAAGGAACTACGCGGCTTGTAAAATTACAAGAAACCCTCCCTGTGAAATAGACCTTTGATGAAAAATTTCGATTACTACGTGCAGGCGGCGATTTTTACGGCCCATTTTAGAACGAGACTCGGCATTTCAGACACCCCATATGTATCAGTAGTAAGGTCAGGATTTACTCACCGGAATGATTTGACCAATGACGCCAAGAGGTTCTCGTCTGGTGTATGCGAATGTGCTGCCATCTGTTGAGTGTCAACAACAAAAAAGGCGTTGATATATAAATAGAATATAGGTGTTAATCAACTTTGTTAGCCCTCTCACTTCTTCCACCTCCCTCCCAATTTTTTTTTTTTATATAAAAAAGTTTGAGAACCCCTTCTGTATTGAATCCAGTGTCGCCACCTAGCCGAGAACACGTCAAGAGACGAGGAGCAAGCACTTCTATAGGCGAGCAGCGAAAACTAGCCACCTAGCGGGTGAAGCATGATGCAGCGGAATAGGTACCAAACCATAAGTGCGCCTGAAACTAAGGATACAAATCATAATTGAGTACGCAAATTGTAAATTGCTGACATTCACTATAGTATTTACTCGCTCTCACCTTCTTTACACTTGGGAATTGAACGCATACACCAGAATATCATAATGATATATGGGTACATGTGTACTTTACCCATGGGAATTGTCTTTCCGTGCACCTTGTCACTAAAGCCCGCACAGTAGCGGATGCTCGCCACGCTGAACTTGATGTCCCCCACCGAGGACTCAAAAGGCTTTCCGTTATCCAAACTCTCAAGACTCTGGAAGATAAACACAGAAGAATTCCGTCGTTTGTATTCACATCAAAGCAAACTGAGTATGAAACACAACTGGAAGGTCCCCGAAACCTCCATAAGAGCTGCGGAGTGCGGACATCGCCGGAACAGATTTAGTTTTCTCGGGGCTATGGTGCCATTGAATGCGTCTCCAACTGGTGCGTTTACCGCCTCCTGAAATGTGGTATATGCATTTTACGCCTGATGACGTCATACAGATATCCTGCTGTCGACGACCGCGATCGTGCAGCGGTGTCACAACTGTGGTGGTGTCCGTGGTAGATGCATGTTCTGCTGCAGGTTGCGCTCCAGCTTGGTGGTAGTCCACATAAGCTTCAGCGTCTAGGAGCTGGGTCTCCGCAATGACAGCGACACACGCGTGTTCGCTTGTACTTTTTGGCGCAACTTTTAGCACCAACCGCCAGGATCGCTGCATCCGACAACATGAACACGCCGACTTCTGTGACGTCATTTGTTGCTACTTTGGGTCCACTTTTCGTGTATAGACGGGATAGAACGCTAAACACACAAGTCAAAAGGGAGTTTTAGGAAACCGTTGTTGCCCATCCCATATGGTACAATGGGCCCTCCGGTACGCACTGCGTATGCGCTACTGCAAAAAACTGATATGCGTACACTCTAAAAAAGTCTGTGCATCTACTTTCCCGCACAACACTCAGAGAGCCAATCACCGCAACTTACGGAGGCAGCTCAGCGAATGACGATGCGGAAACATATGTTTAGACCAAAAAAACGCAGTCTGAGTTGTGACAGTAAGCAATGCAAGCGTGACGTTTTGCATTGCTTAATGTCACAACTTAGACTGCGTTTTTTGGTCTAAACATATGTTTCGGCATTGTCATTCGCTGAGCTGCCTCCGTAAGTTGCGCTGATTGGCTCTCCGAGTGTTGTGCGGGAAAGCAGACGCACGATTTTTTTTTAGAGTGTAGTTCGTAGCGGAGGGTCCGTTGTACCGTATCTGACGTGCAAAAACGGTTCCCTAAAACTCTCTAATGACGCCTTTTAGGTTCCGTACTTAAGGTAATTTTCGGGGTTTGAAGATGGAAAGTCTTCTTGACAGGCATCTTGCCAAGACTCCTCAAAAACTTGGGAAGACAATGAATACAAGTAAGCAAGAAAGTCAGGAAACTAGGCATGTAACGTTACCGCCAAGTAGTCAATGTTCTTTTCCAGAAGATCCGCCAGCTTGTTTAGTAGTTGTCCACGCTTGGAAGCGTTCATGGTACGCCATGGCGAGCCGCGCTTAAAAGCTGCTCTGGCGGCTTTCACGGCTTCGTCAATGTCCTCCTAAAGAAACAAACGAGATTTGGAAAGATCAACTCAATTAAAAGTCAGCTTATTGTCACTGTGAAGTGATCTACATTAATAAAAGAGGTAGAACAGTTATTAGTGTGAAAAACGAAGGATGGCGTTAGGCAGAAAAAAAAGAAAAGGAATATCTCATACTAATTTATTTTCATCTTCACCGCTACTTACCGCCCAAGTCCCGGAGTTTTAAATGATCCCAAGTTGTTCTCAATTATGCGCCTACGCCTACTTTTCGAAAGGTTGCCGCTCAACCGTTCCAGACACATTATAACGTCTGAACCATTCTTCATTTCGTCTCTTTCTGCCGGAGTAAGAAATAAATTAATCGAGTTATTTATGCAGTGATTACCGGGCGAAAACACCGTTGTAAGAACAATTTCGGGATTGTGTTCAATGCCTCATCAAAACAAGATGTAACCGTGTACTGCACTTAACAATGCAGACCGGTGACGTTTGAAATGAAACAAATTTTGGCCCCATATATATGCAATAGGAAATTATGGGATCTGCAACAAAAGGCTATGCCAGTGAAAACATCAAGAGCCTTACGTTTATTGCTAAATAGGACCTCTATTCGCCATCTTTTATAATCAGCTTAGAACTGTGTGAATCACCACAGCCACCGACAACTTAAAAAGCGCCAAGCGTGGCGCGCGAGTCTCCAAAAATCCCATTATCGCTCGACAGCCAACGAAATCGCAGCATTAGCCAATAAGAACGCCAAACAACCAATCACAAAGCGTGAACATGATAAGCCACGCCCCCTTCGTCACTTAAGCCGTCAGTCACTATGCAGAGTGCAAGTTCGTCTGCTTTTTTTGCAGGGGTTGTGATGACGCCAGAACGCCGGGCTCTGATTGGTTCTCAATGAAGGATAGTGGGTAGACCTCAAAGCAGCTTGTCTTAAGGTCTATTCACTATCATTCCATGCTGAGCTAATCAGAGCTCGGCGTTCTCACATCATCACAACCCCCTGAGCAAGAAGCAGGCGAACTACATACAAATATTTGAGACGAGCGCCCGTTGTGAACTCCGTGGGCAACAAAACCGAAAGGTGATGAGCTCACCTTGAAGCCCTCCTGGACATCGGCAATTTTTTCTTCGGTTGCCGGGTTGTATGTCGGGAAAGTCTTGCCGGACTTGGAGTTGACGAAGGTGTTGTTGATGAAGATCTGCGAGGAAGCCAGATCCATCTTGACGGTTATACCAATTTGCGTGGTTTGTCAGCACTAAACTTAAATGCATAAGGTCCATCAATACTATAGTTATAGGTACCTCATATCGATTGAGCGAACACCGCCGAATCTACGCTTTGTCCAGTCGGAAAGGACAAAAAGAACATCTTACGACGTGTGTATTTTTTTAGGACGGTTTTTGTTTTTGATGTTTTTATTTAACTCAAGCTTACAAAGTAGGTTGGTGTTTATTTCACTACTTATCCACTAAAAAAACACTCAGTGAATAAAACGACGCAAAGGAGTAAAAAAAAAAGTCTGCTTGACTGTTTAACACTTTCGGATCGTGAATTCAGTTTTATCTAGAGGCAATGACTGATGTCACGCTATCAAATTGTATAGGGGCCATGACTGATGTATGCTTGTTTTGCAAAATTCGTAAGATTTACAGAAAATTACACCATCTTCCCGAGGGGAACCATGGGGTGATGCGGAGCATCGCGGATCGTTATTAACGGTGTTATTAACGGTGTTAGTAACGTTGTTAGTAACGTTGTTAACTTCCGTGTTGTTACGTTAGTTTGTGGGGTGATGCTGACGTTTGCTTTGCGCCAACCCACTAACTGACGGGACTGTTGCTTCCATCACACTTCATCGGAAAAACAGAGTGAAGTGGAGTCAACAGCGGTGACTTCACTTCTCTCCTTTTCACAACTTTCCCCCGCAGTCGGTCAGTAAGAGTCTTGAGAGCAATCAAATCAAAGGAAGTGTTGCTGAGCCGGAAGCTGGAACGCGCGCAGCGCGGCTACCGCTGCTTATATTCACACTTGAAGGAGAGGAGACTAGAGGAGGAGAGTTGCGCATGCGCGCGCTGTGTGAGTAGAAGCGAACGCACGCGAAGTGCACGCAGCTGGTAGAGAGAGAGAGCGGAGAGAGTAACGCGCAGCTGATGGAGAGAGGGAAGGAGGAGGGTGGCGCATGCGTAGTGTGAGTGCGGACTACGACGCCGCGGGACATAGACCCGAGCAAGAGATGGTCCGCATCTAAAAAAACAAAACAACACACGTACATCTGTTGATCGATTCAGTTTTTTTGTGTGTTTATTTACTGATTAGGCACAGCACTTGGCGTAGAGTGATATCAACTGTTTAATATAACGCGTCGGAAAGCAGACAACAAAAGCCAACGACTGTCGGAAAGCAGACAACAAACGGAGGGCTCGAAGAACAATGACACTCGACGGCGGCAGACACGGTAAGCGTTGCGACTGCAAAAGAAGGACTCCGAAAAGAGTGGCAACATGCACAAGAATATGGTTTCCGCGGAATCGCTAAATGCACGGTCGCAACGCGCCTCGTCTTCATATACCGCTTTCAAAACTGCTGCGCACTGGCTACGTTTACATGGATGCGACTGCAGCGCATCGGATGCAGTTAACGAATCGAATCGGTCCATGTAAACAACTCTGATCGGATCGGATCGGATCCGATCCGATCCTATGGGACGGTGTGGTTTGAGATGGTCAATCCGAATCAAGACTCTATATGTATACGTTAGCGGATCGAATCGAGTGCTCGAGCGAGGGATTACGGGAGCTTTGCTTTGCATGCCGCTAGGCAAACCGAACACCTCGGAAACAATCTGGAGGTCACGAGGTTTGCGTTGTGACCCTTCGACACGAGGTGCCGCTACTGGTTTATCCGAATCCATGTAAACGTAGTGGTTGAAGTGGATCCGGTTCGCTAACTGAATCCGATGCGCTGCTGTCGCATCCATGTAAACGTAGCCACTGACCGCGAGAGAACCCGGAGAGAAAGATGCATGTCGCAGGTTCCAGATGGCAACGATCCGGGACCACCTCTCGGAAGATTCCGTACCGTATCTGCCCGATATACAACCTTCGACGGCGGTGAAGACGACGAAAGAAAGACCGCGAGCCCTAAGTGCATTATCTTCGTGCCCTCTTTGTTTGTTTTTGTGTGTGTTTCTGTGTGTTTTTAGAGGGGCAGTAAGAAAGTAGTCGTGTTCCGGTATTGCCGTTGGGCAGGTGTCGTACTCGGGCGCGGCCACTTGTTTCTGCCGCGCCATGGCCTCATCTTTTTTTTTTTTTTTTTTTTTTAATTTCTAGAGTTTTTAGAGACGTAATGGGGGCTACGCAGCTCCCATTATAAGACAGGCCCACCACATCCGCATCGGTAACGTTCGGGACAAATGACGTCAGACTGGCGCTCACCCATCTGCGGAGACCCTTAATTGCTGACCCAGAAGGAGGGCCACCATGAGACCTCCTAAGAAGTCTCCTATTTGTTTTTAGATAGGCCGGGGGTGGGGGGGGGGGGGGGAGATGTGTGGGCAACCGAGGGGTTTAAAGCGTTGGACCATGGTGGCCCGCGTGCCAAATGATCGCGCTGTTCCATTCGCGTTGTTCCATTATGAAATGATCCATAGTCATTTCGACCACATGGGGTCCGAAGGCGATTGGCCGCGCGAGCGGCGCTCTGCCGCTAATAAACGGTCATTTTAGGAGTTTTTGTAGATGAGTAGTGAAATAAATACCAACCTACTTGGTAAGCTTGGGCTAAATAAAAACATAAAAAGCCGCGGCGAGGGTGATAACGGTGAATTAATGTCTACGTGTTGTTGACCCAGTGCGTTGTGTTATTCACCGAGAAAGGGTAGCAACAAGGAAATTCATAGACATTTGAGAATTTGAGGAAACAACAATAACAATACTTTATTAATTTTAGCGGGGAAACTGCTTTCAGGTAAAGTTCAAGTGACGTCAGGTAAATTTTCCCGCTACATTTAGCTGGGAAACTTAAATGCATAGAATATATGAAGTCAGGTCACGTGACATCAATTTCCTCTTCAAATTTAGAGGGTGAACTGAATTGATGTATGGGTCACGTGACGGGAGGTCAGGGTCAGGTTTTTACCGGTAATAATTGTTTTTAGGATCCACACAAAAAACAAACAAAAACACCGTAATTCTTAAGATACGTTTTGTTTTTTTTTTAATTCAAAGAAAAAGTTTGTGCTGTTCGAGTTTCTGCATATGGTAGCGCAGTCTAGGGAAACGAAGTAAATGTTACGTTATAACTAGGCTGTAGTCTTTCCTGCTTTAACCGGAAAATACCACTCCGTCGGCGTGAAACATTCGGCGGCGTCAAGAATACAAATTCGGTTAAAATCGCAAAACACGGATTAACATTGGTCGATTTCTGAAATACATACCTGGTTAACCAAAAAAAGATTTTTGGAAAAAATTCTGCTCCAGCTAGGACTGTTTCTTAAAGGAACGCTTTCCTCTCAAACTAAAACACTCGCATCGACAAAAAAAAGAAATATTTTTTTTAAGCGTTCGTTCAAAATGAATAATCAAAATACACCAAAAAATAAAAAAAAAACGCCGTAAAACGTTTCTTTTTAAATCTTATCTCATAAATTAACACTGAAAAAATCGTACGAGCAGCACAACTGTAGGTTGCATAGTGGCGGAGGAGTGCGGGTGGTATATACACAGGATGCACGATTTTCCATCCTGTGCAGTCATCCGGCATGTGAAACACAGGCTAACGAACTATTGGAGAAACACGTACTGACGCCATTCGAGCACGTAATCAAATGACTAGGACGATCCAAACTCGAGGCTTCGCCGGCTTTCCTCAGACTACGCAAAAAAAGTAAATTTGTGGCCAGTGGTGTAACAACTTGTTTTTCAGTAGGGGGGGCAAGTCAAACCCCCCCCCCCCCTCCCCCTCCCCAGGGCCGGGGGGCGGTGCCCTTGCTGCCCCTTGGGCGCCGCCGGACAGTGTTTACCCTGCCCAGTAGCGGCTGTTTCAGGGGGGGGGGGGGGGCAAACACGTAGTTTGACCCCCCCCCCCCCCCCCCACCACTCTGAGAACAGGGGGAGGGGAAGCAAGCGCCGCCCTTGCCCCCCCGGCCGGATGGTATGTCCATGTTTGTGGCCCACCAAGAAAAGACCCGGACCAAGAACACGTGACTTTTCAATTGCGTGCTCCAATTTTACCTAGAAGCAGATGTTTTCGTATTGCGCTTTATAATGCTCTTCAATAGACCGATTATACTTCTTTTATAACCGTTTCGGGTACGAATTGTGCAAATAAATGTTTTTTTTTTGTGTGTCGCTAATACGAACAATTCACACCTAGGAACGCTTTTTCTTTTCTTTCGAAACTCAGGTGTCCATATTAACGAGACATAATTGTATTATGTTCCCATTTGATCAAAGTAACGAATTATCTAAACGGAATTCGTTACTAATATATGTATATATTTATATTATAGTTGAGCTAGGAGCCTTTACAAATATGTACCGCGGCAAATACAAAATTGTTCGGAGAAAAATAACGGACGATTTTCCTTATATGGCCGCACTGTTTATTTGTGGGGTGTTCGGTCCCCTGCAGTTTGACTTGGGACGACGTGAACGCAGGAGGAGCAGGCGAGCGCTGCGTTCGCTATCGCTCTAGACTGTCTCAATGGCGGGCAACACAGAGACACTCTACATCGCACCATGGGAGTCAGACAGCAGGGGGGTGTTTTTCGTTGGACTGTGACACCTCGATTTGTAAGAATTATCCCTCGTTTATCTCTCTTTTTTTTTTTGCGTTTGCCGATTGTCAAGAATGGGCGGTTGAATACCCTTTTGCATGTCCACCGTGTGAATCTGATCTAGATTCAGATTAATTGAACTATATTTATTAAAGATATACAAGGGAACGACTATTGTTATGGGAGAAAAACAAAACGACGCAGATCACGAGAGTTGTTGCTTCGTCGAGCTGGTACACGGTCTTATACCCGTGCCACACGGGCAACTCGAATGCCATTTGCAACGAATAACTTTTGAGTGGACGGCCAATCAGCGCGCGACACTCCGGGCGTGGCCCATTCCACGCGCGACAGATTGCGAGCTGATTCGCCGATCACACAAATGTCATTCGTTGTAAATGGCATTCGACTTGCCCGTGTGGCACGGGTGTTAGTAACACACGCGCTGGTCTGAAGATCCTAAATAAGAGCTTCCTACAGGTAGCGTCATTTTTTGAAGCGCCGACTGCGTGACAATGCAGGATTTAAGAGGCGAAGGGCGGCAGACAGCAGTAGACTGAACTGAATACCGCCATTTTGTTCCAGCGGAATGTGCTTTGTCATTTGTATTGGTTGTCGTTACTTGTAAAAATAAAGTAGCAAGGGCCTTGACGCCGATCTCCGCGCTGATCGCTCTCGTCGCGCCACTCAACGGTCGCCGGTGGAAGCTTCCGCGCAGCCTGTGAGGCGCCTCGGGAACAGTGATGGTGCGAAGTGGCAGGCCGTTTCAATGAATAGAATTCGCGCCGATTCGGTTCAGTTTATCCCAAGGTTACTAGAACACTCGGTTGGGAAACTCGCCGTTTAAACCTGGGCCGCTGGCGTCCACTGAGACCGAGCTAAATACGATAACAGCGCCACCCTTTAGCGACGAGTTGAAACAGACAAGTTGCTTTTTACGGGTACTTTTTGAGTCGCTGAATGTTCCCAGAGTACCAAACTCCCAGGCTCGAGGTGCCAAGATGGCGGTTTTATCTTTTTTTTTTTTGCTGCGTTCACCATGAGCTTTTAGAAAGCATGTTTAACAAACGCAATAAAAAAATTGTGGGAACTTTTTTTGGGGATTATTACAAAATAACAGGAGCGGGATTTTTTTTATATTTAGTTCACAAGGTTTTGCGGCACAATTAATATTGTTTTTATACAACCATGTTCCACCGGTGATTTCAGGTAGCTCGTCCCGACCTGGGCGGGTCCTAACTTCGGTTGCAATTCGCGACGCGTCCGCTTGGGAGACGGGGATTGCGATGATGGGATTTCTGATACGCTTTCTACCGTATATGCTTCGGCGCCAAAATGGCCCATTAAAGCCAAAATGGAAGACTCACAGAGGACGCTGCGACTGTTCTAGTAATGCGATACTCCGCGCAGTTACTGGAGTGGTCTCTGCGAGAGAAATGGCGGCGTTGCGATCGCCATTAGCTCGGTTCTCGAGAATGGATCGGTGCCACTTTTTCAGAGCAGGCTCTATGACAGTTACCCAACTGAGCTGGTCTAGTAAACGTTGGTTTACCCCAACATACAGCGCTGCTAATCGCTGCGCCTTCTCTGTGCATAACAATGCTAAAACACACACACACAAAAAAAAAAACACATTCGCCGTGTGGCAAAACAAACAAACAGAAAACACACCCACACGAATTGCGGTCAAACAACTTATTCATCCTATATACAAAAGGAGAGTTTGGAGACTGTGTGCGAGTCGTGTTTGTTTTTTGTATGACGTTGTCTCACAAACAAACTGTCTGCAGAGATGTAAGAAGCACACATTTGTGTGAAAACAAAGACATGCGTAGAACATGCTTGTGGCGTGTGAGCCAATAATTCTCTCGTCCTGCCTGCAGCTAAAACCGCGTCCTTTTGCAACACGCGTGAGCAGCGCGTGACGTGCGGCTAAAATGTCCCTCACCTTGGTAAACTTAATCTCCGGGTTGCGGATGGCAGGCATCTTGGGCGGCGAAGAACGTGCAAATCCCGAATTCTCTCTACAGAACCCTCCGGCAGCTATACACGACGCAGTCGACCGACTTTCTCCGAGCTAGACTAATAACAGGCGCTACTCCTCTTCACCGCTGGGAGGGGGAGGGTCCACAATTCGCGTTATCAACTCGTGAACCGCGACGAGAACTGCGACACAACTGGCGCTATCAGGGATCGCCGAACTCGCTCGGGAAAGAGACGCGTCTCACGAAGCACTTGATGATAACTGCTGCCGTCCTCCTGCCGCGAGCTCGAAACACACGCGTCCTTCGCTTTGGTTCACCTTAGGATGGACAGCGGCGATCGCTACGAGATGTCCGAGCCAATGAAATGCGGCGTGAGTATCACGTGACCTTGGAGAGCCGCGCGCAGCAACGCGCTCGACTCCTTCCGTTGCGTTTGCGTGCAGCGTTGGAGTATAGCTGGGATGGCTCATCACATCCGCAGCAGTTCATTGTTACGTAGACCTTGGAATTATTAAGCGGCGAGGCACGTAGTACACGGAGAAGCAAAAATAATAATCTAGTAAAAATGATTAAAAAAACACAAAAAAAACTTCGAGGAAGTTCTTGTTGGCCTTGCGTGTGCGCGACGGTTACATTATTGTGTGGTTGTGCGTGGCATAAGAATATTAAGGTTTCCGGTGACGTAACCGGTTGGGCTGTGTTGTTACGACCTGATTTGCCTAATTAGCAGGGGTTGTGCGGATCGTGGTTCGAATCGAATAGCGCTGCGTCATTCATAGCCTTCACAGTGCAATGCAAGCCAAGATGGCCGGTTCTTTCAACACTGCAGAACCTAGGGATGACGCCGCGTTATTCGATTCAAACCAGTCTTCGCATGCCGCTACTAATTAGGACGTGACCGGACGTGACCACACTGCGCGCATGCGCAAATTCGTCCAAGGCCAAGCATCTGCGCATGCGCAGCGCCGTGACGTCAGAGAGCTGAGTGTGTCTAGACTATATAGTAACGTTAGTAGAACAACTCAGTTGAAAACTGGCATAGAGCCTGCTATTAAAAAAATGTGGAACCGATCCGTACTCGACAACCGAACTAACGGCAATCTCTACGCCGCCATTTCTCCTGCAGCGGCCATTCAGGCAACTGCACTGCTGTTTGTATTGATTCGGGAGTATCGCACTCGATAGCGTCCGCTGTGTCTCTCCTATTTTGGCTTTAATCGGCCATTGTGGTGCCGAAAGGTATGCAGTGCAAGGGGGGGGGGGGGGGGGGGGCTGCCGACCCCTCTCTCCCAAGCAGACGCGCTGCGATTATGCACTCAAGGAAGGACCCAGGTCGGGACGCGCTACCTGAAGTCAGTGGTGAGACATGGCTGTATAAAAACAATACTAATTGTGCCGCAAAACCCTGTAAACGAAAATTCTATGCAAACGTCACACTCCTGTCATTTTGTACTCGTCTCCAATAAACGTTCCTACAAAAGCAGCTTTCTTCGTTTGTTTTGACGCAAAAACATGCTTTCTAAAAGGTCATGGTAACCTCAGTAAAGAAAAAAAGATTGAGCCGCCATCTTGGCACTTTGAGCCTGGTAGTTTCGGTAATCTGAAAACATTCAGTGACTCTAGCAGTAGCCATATAAAGCAAATTTCATCTTTCAACTCGTCGCTAAAGTGCGGCGCTGTTATCGTATTCAGCTCGGTCTCGGTGGACGCCAGTGGCCCAGGTTTCAAGGGTGAGTTGCCCAACTGAGTGTTTTAGTGACGTTGGTTTATAGTCGCTATACTACGTTTCACTCAGAGTCCTGACGCAGCCGAGGCTACGAGCTGAGGGGGACCAATCAGACGGCGTCAAAAGTGCACCATCATGGTGTTCGTCACGCGTTCTTGTATACGCGTTCCATCGTCGCTGAACCAATCATAAACAGAAAAGGCCCAGTGACTTGCGCTTTAAACGCTGCTTGATTGGCGTCGGCTGTGTATGAACTTAAGCTGAAACGAAGTATAGCGAATTTTGTTTGGGGGATTTAATGCTTAAGAGTCAACTAAGCGTCTTAGAGCGTCACATTGCGCATCCGCAATGCGACACACCAACCTGCTCGGGGAAGGGTGTCCGGGCCCTTGATCGTAAAGCTTTCTAGGGGCTACAGAAGGTGGGTGATGCTAATTGTAGTGATCAAATTGAGGGCCATGAAAGTTTGTTTTTTAACGTTTGCGTGTCAACATGGAATTTAAATTGTTTTGTGTGTGTTGTTTATCGAGCTCCAAACGCCACCAGATTTGTTTCTTGATAGTCTATATATGATCATCTGCTGGTCCAGCGCGGGCCAAGTGTAATTATAACGGGCAATTTTATTTTCCACGGTTTAGACTGGAAGCAGCTGGCAGCAGCAATGAGGTTATGTTGAACATGATGTTAGCCTCAACCCTTGATTATATTGTTTGTGACTGCACTTGTAAAAGTGCTCTTTTAGATTTGTTTTCTTAGTCAATTTTGAGGGTGTGCTTAGTGTTGAACCCGGTATTTCAGATCATCGTGTTTTGTCTTTTTGTTGGACTGCTAAACAGTCTGGTAGCAAGACGAACCGTTCTGTTGTAAATATTAAATACTTGGAAAGGGCTAATGACCAAAACATTATTGATTACCTGGAGGCTGAATTAAATAATACCTCTGAGGATAGTGTTTGTAGTTTATAAGTGAAGTTTAAGGATGCCATAAAGTCTTTTGTTGAACATATTTTCCGCTCGAGGAAAGTGCGAAAAAATCGCCAAAATCCTTGGGTCAGTTGGGATAAAGCGACGTAGAAAGCAACACACATCAACTGGCCATTTAAGGAACTAATACAATGCTTGGTGGTAGAACTAAATCTTACAAGAATAAAATATTTCAATGTAACGCTTGCTGAATTTATTAAAAGTGACCCACAATAAATTTGGCGTCATCTAGGACAAACAAAAATATTGAAGAAAGTACTGGAAAAACTAAGAATGGATGGGAATTTTGTAACCGAGGTTAGGAAAATCGCACAAGCTTTCAATCGGTACTTTCAAAGTGTATTTAATGCCAAAATGTAACACAAGGTGCAAAACTAGTTAGTTAGTCGTAACAAGGTTTTGTCCATTTCAGTAAAAGCGGCTTTTACCATGCTACGTAAGCTGAAAGTTAAGAAGAACTCTGGCCCAAATAATCTCCCCAATGCTTTTTTAGAGCGCTACGCCGAGCAGTTGGTTGAATATTTAGCTAAGATCTTTCAAGTTTCGTTACTCACCGGTGAAGTGCCTAACGACTGGAAGAGAGCTCAAGTAATACCGATTAAAAAAAGATGGCAAATTGTTACTCTCCAAGTATCGGCCAGTATCAATAACTTGTAGTTGTTGCAAGTTACTAGAACACGTAGTGGCCGGTTTTATTTAACATTTTTTTCTAAAACTGAGAAGGGTATTTTATTGCCTAAGCAGCATGAATTGAGGAAAGGAATGTTCACTGTCACGCAACTTGTTAATGAGTTTTCCGTGATACCCGAATACTCGAGGCAATTTGATATAATTTTCTTAGATATTTGTAAGGCCCTTGACAAGATACCATATGGGAAACTGATTTATAAGCCTGATCGCTTATGTTTGCCTTCCTATATTATCGTTTAGGTCGAAGCATATTTAAGAAATATAACTCAGTTTGTTTACGTTAATTGTCCCGTTTCCGAGGTTCTTGCTGTCACATCTGGTGTACCCTTTTCGTACGTTAATGATCTCGCTGAAATAATGCCACAGCCGGTTTCGATAAGGTTTTTCGCAGACGACTTTATTATATTTAAAGACAATAACTCTGCTTACGATCACGCTGCACTTCAAGAATCTATCCTTGAAATTGAGAAACGGTGTGAAAATTGGGAGATGAACTTGAATGTCGTGAAAACTGTGCTTTTGAGAATTACAAGAAAAAGAACTATTAGTTCAGTTGTGTATCGTTTATTTATCTGTACTATTCAAGAAGATGCTAGCTATAAATATTTAGGTGTCATCATTAATAATTGTTTAACATCGTGAACACATACCTCAAATATTTGCTCCGCAGCATTCTCAAAACTGTGCTTTCTAAGGTGGGTCATTCCATGCCAAAGGAGACGGCAATTTTCGTCATATTTTGGATATGCTTGAAAAAAATAATATGATATAAAGACACATTTGAAAGTAAGGATGGCTAAGTTTGAGGGCTGAATTATGTTTATTTTTGCTGACGTCATGCTCCAAAGTGCCGGGAATTTGAGAAAACCTCCTGTATTTAAAAAAATTGCTGAAAAAAATCTATTCTTACCACATAATTTTACGTTTGCATGCGATCAAGCATAAATATATTCTATCTTACCTTGAAAGGAAAACACCTTACGCCGCCATTTTGGGTCCAGACAGGCACTCCAAACAGAAGCAAATTTTTAAGATTTCTTGATTTTTTTAGACAACTTGAAATTAAAATTTGACTAAGAAAATTTCTCTACTTATTTTTATAAACCTTATACTCGACTAGGTTGCATTACAACAGTAAAAAATCATTCAGACAGTTTTTAATTAAATGGTGAATATGACACTTTCTTAAAAAACTGCCCTATAGAGGGTAAAAAAAAGCCATGTGGGCAACGGTGCTCGCATTTTCTGAAATAGTCAAAAGCTTAACCGACCCCATCTGTTCAACATATCAAAAAATTGGAAAGGTACTTTTTGTTATTTTGGAGAAATTATTTTTTAAATATGAGGCAGAACGGCATCACCTCCAGGCGTCCACCTCGTCGGGAACGCACGCCGTCGTCTGCTACGGTCGAGTGAAACACTGCACGGGGTACTTACTTTCGTTAATTATATTTGTATAGCTAAAGCTGAGGATCTAGACATTATGACATGTCTATTTGTAGTGACTAGAGACTGCATATTTTTTTTCTCTAAACTATATGTCCGGGTGCGCTTGCAAGTTGAATAGCGACAACTCGAAATATTGTTTGGGATACTTTTTATCAAAGCCGGAACAAAGGACATTTGCAGCGCACCGACGTTTTTGTTTCTTATGTAGATAAATATAAATTATAGTCAAGAAATGCTATATCACATTTAGAATATCAGTGTTTCATTAGCTTTCAGTTCATCTCATAGGCTAGAACACTGCGCACGTCTGGAACGTCACGGGTGTGAACCGTCTGCCGCGATGTTTTAAATTCGCATGGAAAACTCTTCCTGCACGATGGACGTGTGTGTTATTTTAGCCACCACGTAATAATATTCTTTTGGCACGCTAATTTGAAGGCTTTAAT